GATGGTGTATAGCTCCCAGAAAATCCCATAACTCTTAAATTCATTGTTTGCCCGTACATTCTCTTGTGATCTCCCTTAATTGGACTGGGAACTGTTCCTGTATTTTCTATTTATGGTTTTTATCCTTCTTGTTGAAATTAGAAATACTGAATGTATATGTTGGAAAATTTCCAATTGCAAACAGAATATGAAAATGAGTAAATCATCTGGTCACATATCTAGAGAAACTTGAGATATTTAAAACACAGTATGTTTACTTTAATTCAGAAGAAAAAAAAAAGTTACCCCACACTCAGTTACTATAATCATTCTCCATTGGTGTATACTGTATTAAAATCCTCATCTTGAGTAACTTGAGAGTAAGGATCCTGCTTAAAATTGAAAATTCTGAGCATCTGGCACACACCAGGCCATTGCTTCATATTTGCTGAAGTATATCTTTATTGGTCTTTAAAATGCAATAAATTGTGTAACACACCATTGATTCAATACAGCTTTGTATAAGAGGAGAAAAAAAGAAGTACTATATTTATTAACAACTACTATAAAATTCATCCTGACTTCAATTAAGTTAAAATTTTTAAAGTATGCCTTAGAATGGAGGAAATCCTGTAATTGTCCTCTATTGAATTTCTCATCTTGAAAACAGATTGGACTCTTGCCTCCATTATGTCAATAGATGAACTTTATTTAGCACTGTTGATGTTGACTCAAATTGTCCTAATCTTCCTATATGGTTTTTCTGAGGACACTGATCACATTCAAGTATTTATCTGCTATTGTTTTCCTTGATTTCTCTGTTTTCTCTTAAATGCACCTCTTAAAAACTCTTCAATGGCAGGGCCTGTACGCCTCCCTGTAAGCCCAGCATCCCGGGAGGCTGAGGCAGGAGGATCACGAGTTCAAAGCCAGCCTCAGCAACTTAGCTCGAGACCCTGTCTCTAAATAAAAATACAAAAAAGGGCCTGGTACCAAAAAACAAACAAACAAACAATAAACCCTCACTCTTTACTGGCTCCTATACCCTCTGTTGTCTCAAGGGACCTACTTCTAAGCTCCTTTTCCTCTCTCAATGTTTCCGATTTATCTTATGGACAATTGAGCACCACCAAGGCTCAGTTCCCCAACCCCAAGGCTCAGTCCCCTTCTTTTCTCAGTCTTAACTAGCGGTTCTCAGTTCTGGATGCACATCCCATTTGCTTAGAGAGCTCTGCTAAAAATGTCCAAGGCTAGATCCCAACCCAGATCAATGCAATTAATCACCTTCGGCTGAAATATTAGCCAAGCGATCCTTGGTCGTGTGCCACCTCTGAAATTCAAATTCTTTACCTGAAACACCAAAATAATGTTAAATCTGCTTCATTGGATTGCTGTCCACATACAGGCTTACTCCCCATCATTACGATAAACATTGTCTCCCCCTTTCTTCATTTATTTAAGCCTATCTTTCTTTAAAAGCTCAACTCAAGTCTTCTCCCTTCCCCCTTTGAAAGCTCATTGAAAACTCAAGACACACCTGTGTAAATCAAAGAGTTTCTACAATTGCCTCTGTCACCATTCTCCATAAGCACTCCAACAGTCCAGAGTGATCTTAACAAAAACAAACAACAAAAAAAAATGGATCATATTGCTTCCTATTTTAAGCCTTCCAGTGAATTCTTTTTCCTTTCAGAGTAAAACCCAAATTCTCTAAACTGGTCCACAGAGTTCTGCAAAATCTGACTTTATCTCACCACCCACCCTGTTGCTTTCCGTAGACCAACAGCTTAATCCAAAGCAAATACCAGTTCACTTCCTCAGAGAACACTTCTCCAATCCTCAGCCAAGGTTGGTTCACCAGGAAAATCTCTTTACATCCAATAAATACTTTTTGTACTGAACTGTTTTATCCTGAACTGGATGAACTGGGGTAGACTATTACTTTTTTCTTAATCTATCTCTGTACTATTGAATTTGTTGCCACAAGCACAAATTATATTTATAATTTAAAAAATTAAAAAGCACCCTTAGTCCCTGGCTACACACACACACACACATAAAGTTATTAAGAACGTATAATTTTTTTTAGAAGCTGCAAGTTGATTTAATGTCTCTCCCCTCCCCTAGAATACAAGTTCCAAGAAGGGTGTGTGCTGAACCTGGCCTGTTCAACATTGTGACTATGGATTCTAGCAGCGTTTTCAACAAAGGCGGTGCTCAATTAACTGAGTAAATGCTGCTGGCTGAGAACGGAGCATGAACACTGGCTGGGAGGACAAACACTGTCCTGGCCTCAATCCAACGGAGAGTACACAAGGGGTGGGGCACACCTGAGCCTACAGAGCTAGCGACCTATTCAAAAGTGTCTTGCCAGCCCAGAGTGGGCGGAAAGCCTTCCAAAGGCATGGGTGTTTATAGAGTCTCAGGAGAAAAGCAGTGTCTGACTTCTTAGAAATAGGACACCTACCAGAGTCTGGGGTGGGGGTGTTAACATTTTTTTAAATGAAGTTTTTCTAGCTATAGCTTATTGTCCTCATTCATAATTTGGAATTTGCTATAGTTTGGGTAAGTGTCCCCTAAAGGCCCTCAAGTTAAAGCAGCGGTCCTCGGCCGGTGATGCCTTTCAGAGGTGGAGCTCAGGCCTGCGGTGCAGCTCAGGGGTAGAGTGCAGGCTTAGCATGTGCAAGACTCTGGGTTTGATCCCCAAGTACCAAGAACAAAAAAGATGGAGCCTAGTGGGATGTCTCTGGTCATCAGGGGCGTGGACTGAAGAGGGTTTCAGACCCGGTCCCTTCTTCCTTTTTTCACATCCTGGCCATGAGGTACATGACTTTATTCTACCACATACTCCCCGCTGTGATGCACAGGGCCAACTGATCATGTTCTGGAACCTCTAGAACTATGAACCAAGATAAGCTGATAATCTCAGGTATTTGTTATAGTAATAGAAAGCTAACACAGTATTCAACACATACAAATTGATTTTGCTGTTTTTCTTCTTTTACTTAAATCCAATTTCCCAACTTAAATCTATAGTTCCCTGAGTACAAGTACTTTTTCATAAGCATTTTTTATCCTCATGAGCTGGTATAATTCACAGCATAGTCCCAGAAATGAGTATTCACCAATATTCTTTCTTTTTTTTAAAGAGAGAGAGAGAGAGAGAGAGAGAGAGAGAGAGAGAGAGAGAGAATTTTTAATATTTATTTTTTAGTTCTCGGCAGACACAACATCTTTGTTTGTATGTGGTGCTGAGGCCGCACGCATGCCAGGCGAGCGTGCTACCGCTTGAGCCACATCCCCAGCCCACACCAATATTCTTTTATCCAGAGAAAATATTCAAAGCTTCAATGTTTCTCAAATACTTCCCAACAAATTTTTTAATATTTAAATAAATGTAGCAAATTTTCACACTTTTATCACCAACACTTGTTATAATTTCCTTGATTTCTAGTGATTTTTAATGCTTTTCTTTGCTTGAAAATATATGATAGAATATTTTCAGTAGATACCAACAATCTCATTTAAACAAATATTTTAGTGTGAACGTGCTTTTTATACAATAATGTTTAACTATTCTATTTAGCTTTATATGTGGAATATGCTTAACAAGTTACATGAATTGCCCAGTGGAACCTCTTATTATTCTGGAATTAGTACAGGATAGGCTGTTTGTTCATTCTGTTTTTGTGGTACTGGGGGTTGAACTCAGGGTCTATTTACCATTGAGCTACCTCTCCAGTCCTTTTTTTTTGGGGGGGATGCTAGAGATTGAACCCAGGGGCCCTTAACCATTGAGCTACATCTTCAACCATTTATTATATTTTATAGAGATAGGGTCTCACTCAGTTGCTTAGCGCCTCACTAAGTTGCTAAGGCTGGATTTGAACTCACGATTCTCCTGCTCCAGCCTCCTAAGTCACTGGGATTCCAGCCCTTTTTATTTTTTCTGTTTTGAAACAGAATCTCACTAAATTTCTGAGGTCAGCCTTGAACTCACTATGTTCCTGCCTCAGCCTCCCTAGTGGTTGGTCTTAACAGGAGTATGCTAACCTGCCTGACTTGTAATAGGCTATTGACGTGAACTTTGAAGTCTTGTCTTTATTCTGTGCAGTTTATGTTGTTGGAGTACAGCAGAAAGGGACTAAAATACAATAATTTTGCACATGCTAAATAACTGAACTGTATCCTTCAAAAATTAAAAATGAGGTAAAGTAGACCCCAGAAACCTTTACCTCCTAAAACCTATAATAATAGAGGCAATATTCAATCTTCAGTCTAGTAAGAGCAATGAATGCTGATTGATCCCTCTTAGAATCTGAATTTTATGTTCCATCTAATTGACAAGCCCAGATTTTTGCTCTTTTCCCGTTAATTTACCATGCCTTGAGCTGGACATGTTTTATTTTGGTTTGACATTACCTTAAGACAGCATGAATTCAAGTCTTTATGTGACTCCAATAGGATTATGTTTATTAACCAAGGTTACCTTCTATTATGGCTTCTAGGCCAACAGCATGAAATGAATTTTTTAACCAAAAAAGTTAATAGTTTCCCCATTATTTATAGAGCTGAAGCTAACCTGGTCATTGAGTTGCTGTTCTTAAGAGCTGCAGGTTTGCGTATCTTTACTATATTCTGACAGTTTCTTTTTCGAATGCTTGCTTTACTCCTTCCTTCCCTTAATTAAACCTGGTGATAGTGAACGTTTATCCTGTCTAGTAGGAATAAAGTTTATAATCTTAACCCTCTAATCTATGTGAAATAAAAAGAAATAAAGTGGTAGTATATTTTCAGAAGTTGAAAAAAAAACTGCTACTAATTTAGGAAGGAAACTCATTAATTTAAAACAGATTTGGAGGGCTAGAGATGTAGCTCAGTATAAGAGTGCTTACCTAGCATGCATGAGGTCCTGAGTTCAATCCCTAGCACCACCACCCCAAAAATACACACACACACACACACACACACACACACACACATATATATATATATATTTAGAGAGAGAGAGAGATACTTACCATGGGTTTTGATATCTATGGTTTACTTTATTAATAGCTTCAAGTGTTAGTTCTCCACGCTGTAAAAGGAAGAAAATAAATGTACCATCAGTCCAAGGTACCAACATAAGAAGTATGAGAATTAAAATAGATACGATCCAATGTGCTTTAATTTCCCTATCTGTGAAAAGAGGGTGTTGCGGACAAGGAGGGTCAAGTTCCTGGCTTTCAAGCTCCTTGATATCTTTAGGACTCCATGAACAAGCAGGCATTCTAAACTACTATTCGTCATTTAGACCATAACAGTCTAGCATTCTTCTCTTTACCTTCTTGCCCTAGAATTTTAAAATGTGGTGGCAATAAAATAAGAAAGTGCTGGATTTGAGACACCTTTGGTCAGGGGTAGATCTGGAAACACCCTTCAGGAAGCATATAATAGAGTACTGACAAAATATTTAGGAGCTTGGTCCCACTTTCCACATTAAAAAATAATTCCCATATTCTCCCATGTGTACTGAAATGATATTTCATTACTGAATGAATGACCTCTGTGGACCAATTCCTCCTCCCCAGGATCCATCCAGTGAGAGGCATATCTTGGAAATAAATATGGGAAATAAGGGTGTCAGATTTATGTTGAAAAGGGTATGAGTCTATACTCATTTCTCAGTTTTCCATAAAGGGGCTGGGAAACTATGATAAAAATTATCAAAGAGTAATTCACTTCAGTTTTAGATGGCATCTTTATTCACATTGATATAAGATGCCAGATTTGTAAGATCCCCAAAAGTAGCAAGTCAGATTATGAAAATGTTATCATCAAAGGAATGACCTACTGCTAGCTTTAGTTTGTTTTTCTCTTCCCTTTTTTTCTTCCTTTTCCCTTAAGCTTTGGTTTAGAAAGATTTTGCTTATTGACTGTAGAGGCACTTAACCACCGAGCCACATCCCCAGTCCTTCTTGCGTTTTATTTAGAGACAGGGTTTCACTGAGTTGCTCAATGTCTCACTAAATTGCTGAGGCTGGCTTTGAATTCGTGATCCTGCTACCTCAGCCTCCTGAGCTACTGGGATTATAGGTATGCACCAGAGTGCCCAGTTGAATTGTTTCTTTATGTTACCTTCTCCAGGTTAAAGACCTGAAACTTGATCTCTAGAATGTCCACACAGAAAAGGAACAAGATTTGAATGCAGGGTTGCCCCCACTACTCCACAGAAAATGTGAAAGTAATAATCTGCATATAATGGAAAGATCATGGTGTAACTTTGTTTCCTCAATCAATTTTTGACATGATTCCCTGAAAATGGACCATATCCATTAACTTCTACATAATTTAATTATCAGCATCTGCAAAAAATCTCCAGGACTTGGAAAACTTTTGATCATGAACTATTTATGCCCCCCACCATTTTTTTTCCATACTGAGGATTGACCCCAGGGGTGCTTTCCTCCTGAGCTACAGCCCCACCCTTTTTATTTTTTGAGCTGGTCTTGCTAAATTGTAGAGGCTGGTCTTGAATTTGCAATCCTCCTGTCCAGCCTCCCTAGTTGCTGGGATTACAGGCCATACCCACCACACCCAGCATGCTTCCAGTTTTTTCATAACCCAAAACTACATCTTCTTAGGAAAGATCTTTCTTAGAAACAAAATAAAACATCTTTTTTCCCCCATCTTTCCTATAGATATCAGTAGATAATTTCAGAAAAGTTATATGATCTAAAATAACCTGCCCTTTTTCTATCTTGATTTGTTTAGACAGACATGCTCACTGTGATGTGAAACCTAATGAAATTCAGAATCAAATAAATCAATTTATTTTTTTACTGGTTAGGAATTCATAAGAATAGGAAAAGACTGATTTAAAAACTAATTCAGAGAAAAGGTGGGGGGACCCAGGGATCTATGAAAATCAAAGGGAGATCAGTAGAGGAAAGAGATATGGGGATAGAAGAAGAGGGAGGAGAGAAATGCTGGGGAGTGATATTGGCCAAATTATAGTATATTGTGTACATTCATGAATAAGTAACAATAAATCCCATTATTATTATATATAACTATAATGCACTGATTTTAAAAATGTGGAAAAATAAATAAATATTGAGAAAAATAAAAAGGCTAATTCAGTGACTATTATCAAAAACAAAAAATAACAAAGGCTGGTGAAAATATGAGGAAAAGGGACATTTACACTATTGGTGGGAGTGTAAACTAGTATAGCCACTATGGAGAATAGTATGGAGGTTTCTCAATAAATAAAAATAGATCTACCGTAAGATCCAGCAATCCCACTCCTTGATATTTACCCAAAGGAAATGAAGTCTGCAAACAAAAGAGATACCTGTGCCTTCATGGTCATTGCAGCACATTGGTCCCAATGGTCAGGTTATGGAATCAGCCTAGGTGCCCATCAACAGATAAATGGATAAACAAAATGTGGTATACATGCACTGGAGTATTATTAGCAATAAAGAAGGACAAAATCATGTGATTTGCAGGAAAGTGGATGGAACTAGAAGTCATCATGTGACATGAAATAAGCCAGACACAGAAAGAAAAGTATCAAATATTCTCTCTCATACATGGAAACCAGGAAATAATGCCCTGAAAGTAGACAAGGGACTATTAGAGAAGCAGAAGTGGGGAGGGAGATGGGAGCGGAAAAGGAAGAGGGAAGGTGGATGTGATCAAAGGATAATATATGGATGTATGGAAGTATCACTTTGAAATATTAATTTGTACAATGACTATGTATTAGTAATTATAATAAAGAATAAAATAAAAAATGAATTCAGGCTTGGGAATATAGTTCAGTGGTAGAGCACTTGCCTAGCATGTGTGAGGCCCTGAGTTGAATTCCCAACACTAAAAAAACAAATATATAAAAATTCAAAAATAACAATGACTTGGGAGGCTGAGGCAGGAGGATCATGAATTCAAAGCCAGTCTCAGCAATTTAGCAAGGCCCTAAGCAACTTAGTGAGACCCTGTCTCAAAATAAAAAATAAAAGGAACTGGGGTTGTAGCTCAATGGTAAAGCACCCCTGGGTTCATTCCAGTACCAATAAAGTAATTAATTAAAAATAAAATTATAGGGCTGGGGCTGGGGCTCAGTGGTAGCGCGCTTGCCTGGCATGTGTGAGGCACTGGGTTCAATTCTCAGCACCATATATAAATAAATAAATAAATAAATAAATAAATAAATATCAACGATTTTTAAAAAATTTAAAAATAAAATAAAATTACAACTAATTCATCTGGGGATGTAGCTCAGTGTTTGTCTAGCATGCTCAATCCCTAGCACCACAAAAATATAATATAAATTAATAAAAATTTAACATATTCATAGAAACAGTTAACTAATTTGCAGTATTTTAAGGAAATTAATGTAAACCTTTCATACCTATTTTGAATATTTTCAACTAACAAAAATAATTATAGCTCCAAATTGGATACTTTCTACAAAGCAATATTTAAATTAGTGTAGGCATTACTAAAAGGAAAACACTACATTCAAATACTGTGAGTTAGACACAACTTCTGAAATGAGAAAGATCTGTTAAATTTGAGTTAATTAACTGCAGACATTTGAGGTGCATTTTAGTTAAATATCAAAATTGTTGCTTAAGATGTTCACTGTTAATCTCAAACCACTTGTCTAGTCCTGACATGCTTAGGAAATCTTTTTAGAATTGATCCCTGTGGAATCCTCTTGCGTTATTATCATACACCAGGATGCTTTTCTTAGTATATCCAATTTTAGCTCTCTTTACTAGAAAGAACCCTTTTTCCATCTCTATAACCCTGGGTCTTTCTCACCAGTAGAATGAATACAGTGGCTGTGCATTTGGAGAATTTGTAGACACTAGGGTTTTCTTCTCTAGCCTCCTCCTTGGTAACATAGAACTCTCAGTACCAAACATTTGAGTGGAAAAATCCCCCTAAGGCTACCTTTTCTTATGCTAATGTATTTTTCTCCACTTGCCTCAATTTGCAAAATATTACAGTTAACCCCTTAGGTGTCCTTCTTCCCACAGCCTGTGAGAAGTGTTTCCTGTTGAAGCTGCATCAGCAAATTGCATAATATTACCTCTTCAAGACTGGAGCTGTCAGGAGGGAGAAAGGGGCATAAAGGCCTTTATATGAATGGAGCATTTGAAGTATTTGTTTTATATTCAGAGCATGGGTAGAATCAAAAGAATTCTTTTTGGAAAATCAGTATTTAAGGTATAACTACTGTGATGCATTTTTCTTATTAAAAAGTTTTAAAAAAAGAAAAGGGAAAAAAAGAACAATATAGAGACCATATTTCATTTTATACCACATTATAGGCGGGCTTGAATTGCAGCAGGAATGATACCCTGGTCCTCCTCCTCCTCTTCTTTCTTTCTTTTTTTTTTTTTTTAAATATAACTGCAGGGTTTTTAAATAATTTAAAATAATTGATCAATTTCCAGCAAATAAGCTAAAAATTGGGTTTCATGAGTTTGTTGACTATGGTCCTGGTGTTTCTGTTTTCTGTCGGGTGTTCAAATAAGGAGCAACATATTTCATCATGTTTCTAGGGTCCTTATAATGATGTAGTTCAAAATTCTGTGCAGGTAAGAAAACCTCAAACCACAGGTATCACTCTGATTTCCACTTTGAGAGACTTCAGCAGACATGCCAGCTCTGAACTGCTGACCTAAATTAAGAACTCTGAGAAAACAGGTGTTGCTTTAAATTGCTTAATTTGTAATACAGCAATTGAAAACCAATATAATCTCCATTTTATAGATGGGAAAACTGAGGAGTTCTCAAAAAAAAAAAAAAAGAATAACAACCAATAGTCAGACTAGCATGTGAAAGAGGTAAATAAAAAGTTTTGCAACTGGCCACTTTAGCTTCTAAGCCACATACAGCAATAGATTTGCCTGGAAAATTAATGCTAATTATCTAATTGATTCTTGAAGAAAACGCAAATTTCTGTTATGTTCTCCCAGTACTCTTTCAGGGAGACATACATTTTCCTCAGTGTTTCTATGATTCGTGATACACTGAGATTTTCTTTCAGTGAAAGACCAGAATTTATTCTGTTGAATG